GGGAAACAAGTGGTCTTGTAGATAAAGAAAAACCATCGAAGTTTTAGGCTTTTCCGAAGTATGAAGAAGAGTGTTCCTCTACAGTCTTACGTGTATAATTTCTCCTCAATCAGGTTTATTCATCCTACCACTGAAATCGCAACTCTTCAGAACTAAAACAGGAAAAGAAATACCTACGCGAATGTCTTCTTCCTTTCCCGATGAATATTCCAATTAACCTTACAGATGATATGAGCAATTGTGAAAGAAAAAACTCAAGCAACATCAAAGCAAAAGGTTGTTTGATGCCCATTGTGTGAAGCTGATGTTCGTCAGTATATGCCACATGATAGTAGTATTTGAGTGTGTCCATTGGGGGGGATTTTATTTTTGAAGTCCACTACAGTGCATGTGTCAGAAAATGGGAATAGACCGATGTTTATTGGTACTATTCTATCGTTTTATATATGTACAAATTTCTATGTTGCTGGAGAATTATATTCATATTATATATACATATATATATATTATATACTCAAATGTCTATATAGTGTCGAAGCTAAAGATGATATGAGCATACAAATGTCTATTAGGTTTTCAGAATAAGAGAGAGCTATCCAACTTCAAATAAAAACGAGATATAAGTAGATAGTGTGAATGTTATTTTCCATCACCTTATCTTACAAAAACACAGCAAGCCACAATTAGCCTTACAACTAACTAAACGCTCTGCTGTCCAATAGGATGCGTCTTTGTGACTCAGTACTTTGATGCCTCAGTGATCGTGACGTCATGACAAAATCAAACACGCATTCTCTGTGCTTTCCTCTTGGTTGCCTATGTCTGCTGCTTCGAACCAAGATGTTTGGCTCAGGTGGTTGGAAGTGAGAGATGACATAGCGAAGTGTCCTGTGCTGTTGTTGTTGTTGATGTTGTTGTTGATGTTTACGTCCCCCTCCCCCCCTCTGCCTAGTATTATGGAGAAATAGCTCTTACAAGTATATGGATATGGATGTGTATATGTGTGTATGAATACCAACACCTGCATTGGCACATCAATGTTTGCTCACACATCTATGCTGCACACGTACAAACACTGACACATACACACAAACTAACTCATACATTCACACACACACACACACACACATAAACACACACACACATATACACACACACACTCACACACACAGACACACAAACACACACACACACACATGGACATTTGTACACACATATATGTATGCATACATCCTTTGTGTCACAAGTCACTGTCTTCGTCTGTTGTGTATAATAAAATGGCCTTACTCATCAGAAGCATTTTGGCCTTGGCAGTCAGTCAGTCTGGAACATTACATATTTTAGGTCAAATTGTAGTCAGGTTTTGTGGATTTGCATATATTCATGGAATGGTCGGGAAAAATCACGATGAATTCAACAGAGGTTAGGACATACGTTGAATCTAGGATGTCGACACTTTTTTTCAAACTTTGCCGCGAGATGTCCGCTCGTGACCTAATGTAATATTTATGTGTTCGTTGTCATACTTAGAAATATATTTTAGTGGAGTGTTAACCGTGTGTGTTTTTCTTATCCTTATTCTCGTTGTTGTGGTCACTTTATGCCTATCATGAGCGCATATTTATTGGAATTGTGTACACTCTATTTGTTCATTTGAAATAAAAGGGTATATAAGAGTATAAATAGAATCATCTAAAAAGAGACAAGAGAAACACTAAACAGATGGTCATGATTTTATGCGACTGCATGCTACATGCTATAAGCAATTGCGTGGTTGTTTCTCCTTCCATAAACAAATCCAATGGTGGTTTATTATATCAAGGGAAAAAAACTGAAATAGCAAGTTAAAATTTTAAAACTAACGATGGAAAATCAGTTTTAAGATTTTCACCCAAATATTATATACACATACAAATCACACAGTAACGTATAGAGATTTCCCGGATTTATCTGCTATGAACAAAAGTCACGTTACCAAAAAAATAAGCTCAAATGCTGCTGAATGTGCACCTTTCTGATCCCTTTAATTTAGCTCCACGTGGAATACCACGATTCATTATCATATTTAATTAAGTTCTGTGGACATGCCACAATTCATTAACGAATTTAATCCCATTTAGTAAATGAATGCTCCTTCAGCCCATCCTACAAACGGCCCCATTATACTGCGCCGCTACTATTTAGACCGAGAGAAAGTCAACGGAAGTGCGTGGGCGTGTAAATAAACAAACGAACTTGTATCATAAATCTTTCCTGTCAGCTGCTACCGATGGGGAGAGGGAACGAAAATGCCAATGCATCAGTTACTAAGGAAGATTGATTACTTTCGGGTAGATATTTATGTAGACATATCATTTAGCATCGCAGTTTGTACTCTGAAATAGTTCATATTCAAAGGGTTTGTGTATGAACTGGTGCTGTTGCGTGGTCCTTTCCGCACCCGCAAGCAGTCCTTAGAATAGATTACTGTACTGTTTTAATACAGACGAGGAACTTATGACTGAAAAGGTTGGCATTTGCGTATGTTGTTTCCTCATATCAAAAGCCCAGCAAGATAAAAGACACAAGATGAAAGGAATGTAAACCAATAAAAGAAGTCACTGATATGCATGGAAAACTACTCACTTTCGAGGCAGTATTGATTCCAAGTCGGTGCATTAAGTTCCACTTTGTCCTATCATGGTCTGGATGATTTTTTTTTTAGAATTCATGAAATTACCGATGGGTTATTTACTTTAACTGCCAACCCTTTCCCTAGACCAATGACGACGTTTTTCAGGGCAATAAATTTGATAGTGTACAGAAACAGTTAACTCTTAACTGTATTCTGTTAACGGCGGCATATGGTTATAATATTTCTGATAACAAGTAATAAATAGCTTGTGGGAGAAAGTGTTTCATTCTAGATTTACGAGTATGGTGCAAAATCTGCAATAGCTTTTTATTTTTTATTGTTATTCATTTTTTATTTATCTATTTTACAAAAAAAAAAAAAAAAAAAAAAAAAAAACAGATGTGCATGAAAAGGGAGGGATATGCACTGAATATAATTCTGTCTCATTCATAAAAAAAAACGCACGCCTCCTCTGTCACTCTCGACGTCGTCCGATTACATGAGAGCAGACGATGAGGCACGGATCACAGCGCTCACCTGATGCCTCATGCTTTGGTGGGACGTGGCCGATATAATACTCTTGCCCCCCCCCCCCCCTCTCGTGGCCTGGTGGACACTTCTCATGAGACTCGTAACCCACTATAGTTTTCTGGGTTGAAGGAAAATTAAGCTTCTATCTGGCATCTTCCGAATGGCACAGTAGGCCTACCGGGGAGGAAGACTGACAGGGACTGCCTCCCCAAAGTCAACCAAAGATCCCACAGGGCTTGGGGAGCAGAAATTGGTCGGAGCCAGGAGGATCCAGACGCTGGTGGTCCATGGGCCTCCTGCCGCTCCGAAATCCTATGCAGTTTATTCTGGGTCCTCGTGGTACACACAGGTGCCGTTGGGAATCACGAGGAGGTACTGCAGGACGAAGGAGAGGCTAAGTTCTGGCAGGGGAAGCTTACTGCAGCTCCCTTTTCCTGCAACGGTGGGAGCTGTAAGCAAGAAGGCATGTAGGTACTTAGCGCTGTCCTATGCTAAACACACCATCGCATTTATCTCCCTGGTCACGAAGCATCCATCCACGAAAGTAAAGAAAACATGAGATATATAAAACACGCCTTTAACAACATGCAATTTCCAAATTTCATACGTTGAGAGATTCTTGATATTCTACAGTTATCTGCACATCCAACCCCATAATAGTACGTGTGATTTATCAGAATCTATGAACCTGAAGTTAATGTAAGTTTCATGAAAGATTTATTAACATGAATGAATACACTCCAGCCCATCCTACGCACGATTACTCTACTCTGAGCCGCCTTCAATACAGCGATAGGAAGCCCCTGGAAATGCGTTGGCGTGTAAATACACAAACAAACGCATAATCAGTCTTCAGTGTCAGGTGTTACCGAGGGGAGGAGACTTCTAAGGCTGAATCCAGCAAAGTAATTCCAATCCACTCGAAGTAATAAAGTTTTCATATGGACCGTAATCGTTGTTGGAAAAGATGGGAATCCGTTATTATATATTTTTATAAAAATCATCTTATTCTCAATATATACCTAGACGTCGAAATGAGTCGTTCAAATTAGCATTCGAAATCGGTACATGGCAAATTTAATATATATCCAAAGCGTAAAAAAGAAAAGAAAAAAGGAAAATACTGTGAAAGGGTGATATTCGTTTAACAATTTCTCGCCTTTTCTTGAATATATGTCCACTTTTCCTGGTATCTTGTAGCCAAGCTTGAGGTATGCATATGCAACAGTGCTCATTCCACCACAGAATATCTTAAATGAGCCTAGAACGGTTAAAGTTACAAACACATTTTCAAGTGAATTTATAACATATCAGAAAGCAATTCATATATAACACATCGCCTTCAGTATGTACACATGTATATACTGAAGGCGCGGAATAACCAGTCTCTTTGACTTCCATTCTACCGGAGTCAGTCACAGTCTAGCCGGATGTGAAACCAAATAGTCGTCCAGTTGCCGTTTGATTGTGGCTCGCATGGCGATCTGAATCAGAAAACGTCGAAATATATAAGTGAAATTATAATGTCTTTAATACACATTCATTGTTCCTGCAGTTTAAAAGGACAGTGCTTATGCTCAATGCCTCCTACAACACGGTACTTCAGTTTATTAGAATTAGCACAGTTAGAACTGACTTAGTGTATTGTAAGATTTAGATCTGTAAATGTACTTCGTCAGCCGATCAACTGCGATATTTTTTTTTTTATTCTATTTTTTATCTGGTCGCTGTCGTCTATGTCTTCTACACGACATACGCGCCCTATAGATTGTGGTAGAAAAAATGGCCTTTGACTCCCTGTGATCCCCGTGACTTAAGGCTAAATATCCAGTATTGACATTCGTATCTCTCTCTC